CATAGAAGTCAATCTGAAAGCACACGCATCAATGTACAGTACCTGTCGGTGAGTCAAGTAGAGGCGTATCTACGTATATATACCCCTTATCTCTGAGTAGGAGTGGGCATGGCATTTGAACATGTCGTAGAATATGTTCCTCGTAAAATATCTCAGTTCTAGACAGCTTAATAGTTTAAGACGTCACGGATAGTCGAAGTACGCAGCCACGCCTACCACATCTCGAAGATTTCGAGTGTACGTTTAGCGCGGCGCCAGCCCATTTCCATCAATAGCTACTCGCCCCATACTGACAGCGACGAGTGGAAACGAGCTCGCACTGCGCCAAAACGTACGCATGCAGGAGCGCCTCCACATGACGTACCCACAGCGTCTGTAACTCCACGCCTATGATGAAAAAAGATAAATCACCTTGACGCCCATAATAAAAACATTGCCAACGTTCCACAGGTCACATCTCCTTGACCGCCGCATCTTCTTGGGCATCCCTCTTCATCACCAATCACAACTAAATAAGAAAAATAGTATAAAAAAGCTCAATTTTACAGGAGATTAATCAATTAGACCACACAAATGTAGCTAATAAACTGAGTATCGCAGTAATTCGAACTCATATTCGTTTGAAAATGATCTTTTCTGATGATTAGATTAGATTAGGTCTAAAAATTAGAGCATCAAAGTAGTTGAAATAGGCTGAGCAGCGGCGTGATAGTGTGACGCTTTTTCCTGTTTGTCTGCGCTCTCCTACTGGGATAGTTGCCTGAAGCGAATACCCGCGATACAGTTGGGGATCTCATTTAGGCTGCATTTATACTCCGCGACTCAAGTGATTCAGCCCCACGTTTCCAAGCCACACGAACGATTGTGAGCGATCACGTCACACTGCTGTGGACCGACATGACTGCTAATCCAATCACATTCAGAGAGAACCGCTACTGGAAAATTGCAGCGGTCTAAGGACCAGAGGAAGAGCGCGTTCGCTAGCAGTCGCGCGATTGAATTGCCCGGGTCGTGAAGTTCCAACGCTACCTCACCACAATTAAATGAAATTCACTTTGGAAAAGTCAAGTTGAA